CACCAACACACCAACACACCACCACACCAACACACCACCACACCACCACACCACCACACCACCACACCACCACACCACCACACCACCACACCACCACACCACCACACCACCACACCACCACACCACACCACACCACACCACACCACACCACAACACAACACAACACAACACACACCACACACCACACACCACACACCACACACCACACACCACACACCACACACCACACACCACACACCACACACCACACACCACACACACACAACACACACACACACACACATAAATGGACACAAAGAATACGATTCCCCATTTTTTGATATTTTGGGGTTTTTTGTTTTTTCCCCCACTTCCCATATTTTCTCAAATTTTCCTGGGGATCGGCGGGGGCGTCACCCCCGCCGACAGCCCCCCATCGACCCGCGTCGCGGGCAGCCACCGCGCGCCGAAGGCGCTCCGACCCCCGTCGCGGCGCGACGACGAGGCGAGGTTGACCCCCGTCGGGGGGGTAATTACACGTCGGTCGGAAGAAGTAGATAAAAACATTATTAGGTAGGAAGGCGGATTAAGTTGATTGGGTCCAGGCCCCCCCAGAGAATAATGAAACACATCAAAAGCGTGTCGATTCTTGAAGTAGGACGGCGCTTGAAGTAGATTGGGATCTGGGAATCCAAAAATACCTACTTTCAACGACCGGCGTGTAGCCCCCCACGATTATCAAGAAGCCCAGAGTAGCCTTTTCCTGACGGCCGGGGGGCCCGGTGAGGGCCCCAGGGAGGGCAACAGCGGCCAGCACGTCCTCCGGCACCCCTCGTCCGTCAGGACCCCTCCTCCTCCTCCTCCTCCTCCTCTTCCTCCTCCTCCTCCTTGTCACGGGTCGCCTAACTTCGGGCATCGCGTCCCGCGCTGCGCGGCCATCGTCGCGCCTTCTCGGAGCCACCCCGGAGAACAGCAGCTGCACGCCCCAGGCTGCGATGCGCGAGGCGCAGTCGCCTTCGCGCCCCCGCAGGGGGACCCGAGGGCCAAGAGGGCCTGAGGACCCCTGTCCTTCACGGCTCGCTCGCTCACGGCGCGAAGACAAGTGGAACATCGCCGCTTATGACGACCAGAGGCCCAGACCCTATAGACCCCAGCTTTCTGCGGCACCTGCCGCGCCGCATCGATCTGTGAGGGTCGTGGGGCCCGCGGCAGTCGGACCCAGGCCAGAAGCACATCCTGCAACGACATGAGACCCTCCGTCCCAAATAACATCCTGTAGTAACATCCTGCAATAACATCCAGGCCAAAACGAGCAGAACATCCAGGGCCCCCCCCCCTGATGCACAAGAGCATCCAGCAAGCACGAAGAACACCACGGGACCCTCCCCGAGCCGACCTCGATCTCATGCCTCGGCCTGCCTGTGCCCCGCGGGCACGCCGGGCTCCAACGAAAACTGCGACGCCGGGAGCGCAGGCTTCCCTGCGAGGTCCTGCTGCGCGCCGGGCGCCGCGCGGAACCTGCGGCGAGCGGACAGGTCGGCGTTGACGTTCGGGAAGAAGACCCCCAGGGGCCGCAGCCGGGCAGCCCTCAGCGGCCCGGCCTCCAGCTCGGCCAGCGTGTAGGCGGTCTCCAGGGGGTGGAAGAGCAGGTCCTCGGCGAGGGGAGCGCTCCCCAGACATGCTCGCGTCGAGAGCAAGCCATGGCGGGCGGTTTTTGTGCCGGTTTTCGGCCTCTGTGGGCCCTGACTGGCCCTGGGGCCAGCGTCGAACAAATCGAAGCGCAGGATGTCTCGGGATGCCGACGCCGATGAGGCTGGTTGCTTCCCGCGCTCCTCCCGGGGTGCCTTCTGGCAAGGATTTCCCGAGGCGAGCCCAGCCGCGGCGACGCCCCAGCCGTGGCGACGCCCCAGAAGGGTGGCGGTATCGGCAGACCTTCCCCCTCGGCAGCCCCCTCGGAAGTGCAGACGAAGCCAGGGCGAGGATCACGTCGGGCGATGATACACCGAGAACCTCTGAGATCCGGCGGCTCTGGAGGATGTCGCGGGCGCTCCGGAGCGCTCTGAGAGCGGCCCAGAAAGCTCTGGAGCGGATTCATCCTTGTCCTGGCCCCGTTTGAGCCCGGACATGCGACGTCCTGATTTTTTCAGAACGGGGTCCCTGACAGTCCCGACCCTTGCCCCGGGACTGGCTTTTCATCCCGAGTCGTTTCTTGACGGTCCCGAGGCGCGGCGAGGGCCCCCCGAGGCCGAAATGGGCCAAAAACCGCCCGTCCTGATTTTAGTTTATCGACGCGATCATGCCTGGGGTCCAGGACGCCCCGGTAGGTGAAGAACTCCGAGAAGTGGAGGAGGAGGATGAGGAGGTGGAGGAGGTGGAGGAGTAGAAGCGGAGGAGGAGGAGAGGAGAGGAAGGAGAAGAGGACGAGGAGGAGGGGCGGGAGAGGATGAGAATGAGAGGGAGGGGAAGAGGAGGAGGAGGAGGAGTAGGGAGGAGGAGGAGGGGGCTTGGCGGGGGCGGAGGGAGGAATTATGAGGAGGAGGAGGAAGGGTCCAGGACGCCCCCGTAGGTGAAGAACTCCGAGAAGTGCACCAGGAGGTCCCGGACCTCGGCCCCGGCGGGGAGGCTCACCACGCCTCGGCGGATCGCGCGCACCTCCTGCGGCGTCGGGGCCCGCGTCAGCTGCCCGGCCCCGTCGTACAGGGCCCGGGCCGCGGGGGCCGCGCGGAGGTAGGCCCGCACGGGGGCCTGCCAGCTCTCGACGCTGATGCTCGGCGGCGAGCGATGGGGGGGGAAGCGAGGAGGAGAAGGCCTTCGCAGAGGGCGGGGGGCCTTCTCAGCAGCCCTCGGTGTCACGCATCTTCGGGGGAGGCTTAAAAAAAGCTTCGCAGGAGGCCGGGGGGGCTTCCGAACCTTCGGAGGAGGCCTTCTCCTTCTCTGACTTCCCACCCCCTCGCTCGCCGCCGAGATGCGCGAATAGGTGCTGAGCTGCAGGACGCCCCCAGGCGCCAGCACCCCAGCGAGCCGCTGGAGCCCCTCGGCGGGGCGGCGCAGGTGGTGCAGCACCCCGCAGCAGACGACCAGGTCGAAGCCGGGCCCCGCCAGCGCCGAGCCGGGCTTCAGCTCCAGGATGTCGCCCACGACGAAGCTGACGCGAGCGAACTCCTCGCTGCTCAGCGCGCGCCGCAGCTTCCGCTGCGCGTACGCCACCGAGCGGGGTGCGCAGTCCAGGGCGACCACCTGGCAGCCCAAGTACGTCCGAAGCTCCACGGCGACTTGATGGCCAGAGCCGCAGCCTGCGACGAGCACACGGCGCGCGCCCCCGCTGGCGGGGCGAGTCTCCCGCCACGGGAACAGTCTGGCCAGCCGCTCGTCGATGGTGGCGGGCAGCACGCCAGCAGACTCCACGGCCTCGTGCCACGCGGGATAGACCGTCTCATCGTAGAAGGTGCGGCACGGGGTGTCAGGCAGCTCGTGCTGCACATCGCCGGGCGCAGCAGCTGCGCCCGTCGACAAGGACCCGTCGGGCCGCAGCACCTGCAAGCTCTGCAGCAGCGCCGCCTCCTCGCGCGGCTCCGCGAAGCAACGGGCGGCGAGCGCCGCCACCGCTGCCACTCCGTAATTGGGCAGGGCCTCCGGCGGGTCCGCCCGGGGGTTCTCGTACATGGACACTAAAAGCCACGCAGCAGCTGACTGCACTTCCGCACCGTCACCGCCGCAAGCGCGCCCGGGCTTGTCGAGACGCTTGGCAGCTTCCAGCTTGCTCGCCTCGACGGTCGCCTCGTCGTCTGCGAGGGGCACGCAGTAGCCAACAAAGTGCAGATGGCATGCGATGGCGGCTGCATCTTGAACATGCCTGGGCAGCAGCTCGGGGAGAGGGCGCGGCGCACCGCCGCATTCCTCCTGACCGCCGCCAAGGAGAACCGCGTGCAGCAGGCCGCAGAGCGCCGCACGCCAGCGCACCACGTGCCGCTCCAACGTCACGTGGCAGAAGGCTTCGGAGTGCAACAGCAGCGCCACGACCAGGTCCGGCAGCGGTGCCTCCACTGCGTCCACGGCGTCCAAGGGCTGCTCCAGCCAGGGCGCCGGCGCCAGGCACCTCCGCGACAGGGACTCGATGGCGCTGGCCGCGGGCGTGGCCAGGAGCGGAACCGAGCGAGCGAGCAGCTCGGGGAGGCCCTGGAGCGCCCTCGGCGTGGCGTCGAGCTCGACCGCGCCGTCGAGCAGGTGGAAGCACTCGCTCGCCTGGCGCTCGAACTGCGGCGCGCCCTCGCGGAGCTCGCCGCCTCGCGAGGCCGCGAGCTCCGCGGCACGCCAGCAGCAGCGGAGGGCGGACTCCACACGGCTGCTGGAGTTCAGCTCCGCCTCAGCGCGGGCTGCGCCGAGGAGCGCGGCCAGGCACCCCTCGTCCTCCTTCAGCGCGGCCTCGTGCTGTGCCTTCGCGAGCTCCGGGCGGCGGAAGAGCGCGAAGTAGTCGCCGGCGCACGCGAGCACCTCGGCGCGCAGGGCCGCCGACTCCGCATCGCCTCCCGCGTCGAGCCCGAGCTCGCAGGCCACGCCCTCGCAGTCCTCGCTCGCGAGCAGTGCTGAGTCCAGCGCCTCGAGCACCTCGGCCCCCACGCCGAGGCCGCGGCAGCGGCCGCCCAGCTCCGAGAGCTCGCTGAGGGCGAGGTCCAGCTCGCCGAAGGCGTGGAGTTGCTCCCGCAGGTGGCGCGCGACGCAGCGAAGGTGCTCCTCCAGGCCGTGCTCCTGCGCGCGCTCCGCGGACGCCTCGTCGGCAGGCGCGGCCGGCAGAGCCGCGTCGGGCGCCGCAGGTGCGCCCGCCATCGCGCACTCGGTCGTGCGCCATCCGGCCTCGCCGCGATCCCTGGCCCCGAGCGCCTGGGCCCAAACAGCTGACGCCAGGCGGGCGGCCATGAAGCAAGGATGGGCCACCTGTTCCGCGCTGGCAGAGGATGGAACACGAGGCTGCGCCAGGGTCTGGCCTTCAGGGGATGATGCCCAAGCGCCCTCGCAGTATGGACTGTTAGTACCCCTGCTCTCGTTCCACCTGTGCGCTTCATCCCGAGGTGGCGACAGAAGGCCGCGAGCAGACGGCAGAGGGCGGGGCTGGTTCGAACCCCCCTCCCATAAACAGGTGGGGGGGCCGGTTCGAACACCCCCTCTTTGCAACTCAGGGCCCCCCCCCCGCGGTTCCCCCCCCCCTCCATGGACAGAGGGGGGCGGGGCGGGGCCCAGTTCGAACCACCGCCCCTTTGGAGTCCCCCCCCCGGGTTGGAGGCCGGTGTCCGGGGGGAAGGCCCTCCCTGTTCTCCAGGGGCGCTCAATGTTGTTTGTTTTGGTCACACACCCGCGGCTCCAACGTGTCAAGTTATTGATGTCCAGGCAAGCGTCCCCGAAACGCGTTCTCTCATACGTTCGGATGTCATTGCATGTTCGTGCCACTGCATGTCAAGCGTGCTACAAGACGTATCACATGGAGCATAGCGCGTGCCAACACGTGGGCCCCGATCAAGTCTATGAATGATCCTGACACCTCTTGCGTTGAGCCAGCTGGAGGCAGCACCATCGATACTGGAGTAACTGCCTGTCTAAATGCTGTGCTGTCGAAGGTACGTGCACGATCTATGCGTTCAACGTGTGCATTGCCCAATCGATATCCTAGCGCCGCCTGCTGTTGCGACCACCGCGGCAAGCGCCTAATCACATGGTCCAGCGATCGAAAGACAAGGTAACTGACTCACCGCCATGCGCCCAACGTGTCACATGGGCGATGTCGGAAACCCTGAGCCCCAAATGGTTTCATCTCTTGGGGGCACGTCTTTCGCATCCGCCGCCTTCCACCGAGCTTCGGCCGGCGGAGGCGGCCTCGTTCGACTCCCGCCGGCCTTCCGCCGCCTTCGCCGAGGAAGAGATGACAACTCCTTCGACCCTCAAAGGCAAGGCCCTTTTTAGAACGCCCCGCATGGTTCACGATGGATGAGATCGCGGTCGACGACCGAACGATTGACCGACCTCAAACCTCCTGGAACCGCCCCCTCGCTGCGAGCGTGCGTGCGGCGGGCCTCGTCCGAGCTGCTGCGCCCCGTCTGGACGTCGCGCCCCATTAGCTCGTAGATCATCGTGGGCTCCTTCTTGCCCTTCACCTCCACGCGCGATGATCATGCTTGCTGCTCGCTCAAGCACGCAGCCGAAAAACACAAAACTACATGCTCCTCCGTGCGTGCCCGCACGACAGAATCGCAGCTTCAGATCGCCACGAACCCCTAAGCCACAACTACCATATCAGTGAGATGTGACTGACACAGAGCACCACGGCACAACACGACACGCCACCTCCAGACCACGTTTGGGCTACCACGGCACGGCATCATTGGCGGCGCCGCGCGGCAGCATGGCCTGGCACATCACGGCAACTCTGGCATAACAAATCGCCGGACATAATCCGAAAGTCTGCACGGCACGGTACGACACCCCCAACCCGGTGACCACGTTTTGGCCCCTCAAACCAGCCATATTGGTGCGGTGGTGCACCAACGGCACGGCGCCAACTGCACGGCACAGGACCTCCGGCTAGCCCTTGCAAACATCACGCTGTAGTCATTCTGTTTGTTTTGGTCTTGGATGGCACGAGCGGCGCATCATGACATTGAAGTATGGCGCGTCACCACGGAACAGCCCTTTCGCCCGCCTCAAGTTACGTGTTGGGCCCATTCATGTTTTTTGCAGGATACCAAACAAAAACTGCGCCAGCCCCTCCACGGGGCCGCTGGGCGTCCATGCTCCCAATCAGCCACCTCGTTGGGCGGGGCGCCCTGATCGCTCTGTTAGAGGAGGCGGTGGCTCTGGACGGGGAAATCATGGAGGGTATCGGACCCATCAGATACAGCGGCGATGCACAGAACCATGCCAAGAAAGGTACGGCATGGCACCTCCATCCACCTAGATTACGTTTTGCTCTCCTGAAGACCCCGCTCTGAACTGCAACAACAAATCTCCGGAACTCTCCCATGGGACCATGCTGACAAGTCTTCGAACCACGCCCCGCCGTGGCGGCGAGACCCCCCCCCCGCCCGAGAGCGAACTAGACTCGACCGCTCCCTTGCGGGGCTCATGGGCGTGTGAGGCAGGGCTGCGGGATTGGAGCAGGGAAGGCCCCCTCCTCCCTCGCCCCCCAAAGCCCCCGGCGTTCTTGAAGGGGCCCTGTGACACACACATAAATACACACAAATAGAACTATTCACCATATTTTCAAATATTTTCTGGGTTTTTGTCTTCCCCCCCACGTCCCATATTTTCCCATATTTTCTGGGGAATCGCCGATGAATTGTGCCTGTGTGTTTCTTTCCCTCCTGAGCCGTGACTCTTCACGACCTCTCTAAGGACCACCGTTTCCAGGAGAGCTCCAAGCAATACACCACTGGCAGCCCTGGCCAGGCCTATCGTGGGCCCTGGACTGGCGTACAGGCCTTCCAGGCCCAGGCCAGCAAGGTCTGCACGCCGATCCAGGGCCCAGGAAACGCC